GGCGCATGCCAGAGCTTCTCCAAGAGAGCCCGGTCTGCTCTGTTTCACGGCAAGCTTCATCTCTGCGCTCTCCAGAGCGTCAATAAACTGGTCGCGGATCAGAATGTCCCTGAATTCGGCTGGTGCAGATGGGTAGGCGAGGTGTCCCAGTCTTTCAACATCGTGAGCTAGCTCAGGAAGTGACTCTCTTGGTTGCCTGCACTTTGCTCGGAATTGGGCTCGGAACGCTTCCTCTCGGTGCTCCACGCCGAAGCGCTGTCTAAGCGCGGCGGTGAGTTTGTTGAAATCACGGTATTGCTCTTCCGGAAGGTGACCCAGTATTTCCAGGGCAGGTCCTCTCAGGCTGGCGGCCAGTTGCATGGCCTTTTCTGGATCAGTCCATCTGTTGTTGCATGCTATCGCTTCAAATTGAGCGCAGTATGCAGCCCAAGATACAGAGCCATCGAAGTTCTGGGGAGTGCGCCGATCCCCAGCTCGCGCATCATGTTCAGGAGCCCCTGTCGGTAGCTCATCGCACTGCCGAATATCATCAGAAGCTGCAGGTTGAGGGCCTCTCGGAGCTGCAAACCGCTGAACGCTGCTCGGTGCCGCAGCGTCACAAGGCTGCGCTGCATGCCTCTGATCCAGCACAATATCTGTGAGGCTCTGGAGCTGCTCCTCGATATGTTGTACCTGTGCTTCACATATCTTCTGTGTCCGCCGCTCGCACTCTTCCAGCTTCGTATGTAGCAATACAGCTATCTTTTCCCCAAGTTCATCTGAAATATGACTCTTCGACTTCTCCTTCTCTGCTTGGCTCCTTGTGATCCTCTTCTCGTCGTCCATGTCGTCGAACGGCATGTCGTCGAACGGACTTTGCGTAATCACTTATAAGGATGGAGGGCGGGAGGTGTGGGTATCGTAAAAATTCTGACACCAATGTTACGAGACTGCCCCCAATTGTCCTAGTTTCTGCTATACAGAACCAGATCAGCCCCGAATCAGAGATTACGTACACTGGTCGCTTTATATTCACTTAAGTGCGTAACGAGTGAGTTCAAGTATCTAACGACCAGTGCGGCAAGTATCAGATGACAATGTGACCATTTTAGTTCAAGTGCTAGCACACAACAATGACGGGTACAAGAGGAAGTGCTCGTGTCAATCAAGCACGGGGAAGGAAGAGGAAAGTCTGTGCTCGTAGCAATCAAGCACCACGACAGGGGAGGGAAAGGATACCAGAGAGTCGCCCTGGCGCTGTTACCGAATCGTTGCCATCAATTCGGACCACAGGTAAGGAGCGGGGAGGCGACAGCGAGCTCACCTTTTTTTTTGTTTTTGTTTTTTTTTTTAAACCATAAAAACAAGACGAAGCTCAGAATTATCCAAGTTAGAGCGCAAATGGAACAGAGACGTTGGGCAAATGTTTCTCGGCTCACTCTGGGATGTACGGTCTGCCACGCGTAATAGCTATCTGCAGACCCTACACTATAGAATTGTTAATCGCATTATTGCTACAAATTCCTTTTTATGCCGCATTGGTAAGACCGATGACGCTTCATGTGCTCTCTGCGGATGCGATATGGAATCTTTAATGCACGCATTTTACAGCTGCGATATCGTACAAAGCTTCATTAGCGAATTGAAAAGTCACGTGCATGAAAAGTATAGCATAACGTTAGTTACTACGGCAGGCCGCTGGTTTTTCCCGCGACACGACTCAGAATCTAGCATTAACATATTGATTAAAACAGTAGCCAAGCATACAATCTTACGCTCAAAGACCTTAAAGCGCCCCCCCCCAAATATTCACCTTTTCACTTCCTTACTAGCAGCTGAAGCATTAAAAGAAAAAGGAGCAGCCCTGAGGAGTCGATGCTATAACAAATTTGAGAATAAATGGGGGAACGTCATTAACATATTACAAGCCTTAGACATACCATCAACCAACTGAGCCTCTTTCCCATCACTCCGGGTCCAAGCTGACGTGCTGCCGCCGCCGTCGATGCTGCTGCCGCCGCCGGATGGGGCCCGCTGCCGCTCCCGTACCCTCCGTCCCGTCCTGGCCGCCGCTGTCGGGCCGTCGGGCCTGTGCCGCCGCTGCGCCTGTGGCTGTGCTCTGTGCCGCGATGGTGACCGTGTCGGTGTCTGCCGCCATCGCGACCCGTTTTTCGTGCCGCCGCCGCTGTTTAGGTTGTGCTCATGTGGGTACTGTATGATTTTTATGCGCGTTTTTGTCCTTTCTTTTGTCTTTTTTCATCCTTTGTTTTTCTTTCCCATTTACTCGGCCGCTCTGAGGCAATAATCGCCTATGCGTGTGTACGCACGCGTGTGTGTGTACTGTGTACACTACAGAATCCTCGCCTCAGACGGAAGCACTTCCTGTGCGCTTCACAAATGGCAAATCTGGGCAACTTGTGCGTGCCGTTCTTTGTGATTGATGCCGTTGCCTGCGGTGCAGTTTTGTGAAGTCTGATTGTGAGTGTGCCTATATAATGTAAAATATACATGAAAAAAAAGACAGCTAGCTCACCTGGCAGAGTCCCGGTCTCAACTGACCGCCAGGCCAAAACGAGCCTCGGCCCGAGCCGAGGTCACGGGCACAGACCAATCAACGTGCAGCACGTACATCGCCGTGCGCATCCGCATGCGCACGCGCACACGCACAGACAAAAACACCCATCACCGACAAAAGCACGGAAACGACGAGACTCGAACTCGCTTCACCATAGCATCTCACAATGCGAACCCGGCGCCTTAACCACTTGCGCCACCGTTCCGCGCTGCTACGGCACCATCGTGCCACGGCAAGCGGAGGGCACCGTAACAGACTGTTGTCCGCTAACCTCCCGCTACGATCCCGAAATGAGCATTCATACATTCATACATACATTGGGTTAGGGGCACAGGGGAGCAATGCCGCTTGAACCCTATTGGCTGTAGTGTCGAACGGTGGCGGCCATATTGCGCAGACCAAGAAACGGCTGCCGCCTGTGTTGAGGAATAGGGGATTCGGGACCTCGATTTACGTTTGCGGCCGCCGCATCCGTTACGTTCAAGTTACGTAGATACGGAACCCGGCATCTTACGCAGAATTGAGTGGGGAACACGATCGTATCTTCAGAATTCCTCAAATTCACTCGCCGGACCTACATTTGCCCCGGCCGAGGGGGTTGATTGAACCCACCTCGCTAATGCGCCGCTAATTAAACTAGAATTAAGCGGTAAATTGGTCGTTTGCGACAAAGGATAATGCAGAGTGACTGGTAGGAACCCACTGTAAAGGTCCCGGGTCAACCGGTGACCTCTGAGGTCAGGTCAAGTGATCTGAGGCACGGGTTCGGTTTTTGGTAAATAACTTCGCCAAAAATGGCCGTAGAGCCGCGATTTTGGCATCATCGTGTTCAGCTAGCTCAGGCGCATCGAGTGATATACTTTTTGTTCGGGTCAGGTCAACTTAGGGTGTTGACCTCAGGTCAAGGTCAGGTCAGCACCCCCAGGTCACGAAGTTGGTCGAAAGAGGTCATGTCGCATATCATTCGATTCGGCAGGTCTTCCTGAGTCCATTGGTGGCTTTCCCGACTCGCTAGCTCAATTTGATCGGGAGTTATTGAAGAAAAACTGTGACCCTTGTGACGTCACAAATGACGTCACGCAAGGGCAACAATGCAAATATGAAGCATAGAACCTTGCAAGGAGTGCATGAAATCATGATTCTATATGCTTGAGATAGTTTCAGATCATTCTCGGCGCCAAAATAGCAATTTTCATATTTCCCCATTGACTTATAAGGGTTTAACGTATTAGTTCCTTGTATCTGAGAATTTTTTTAGGATTTCATCTTATTCTCCACTCAATTCTGCGTAAGATGCCGGGTTCCGTGTCCACATAGCTTGAACGTAACAGATGCAGCGACCGCAAACGTAAATCGAGGTCCCGAATTCCCTATTCCCCAACACAGGCGGCGGCCGCTTCCTGGTCTGCGCAACATGGCGGCACCGTTGGACACCATCTGGCGGCCGATGCGCATTCCACATTATAGAGTTCAGTGGTTAGGGGGTTTCCGTGCATACAGGTAAAAATTAGTCTGGTCATATATGATGCTGGTGTTTATGCCGGTGTGACCAGGGGAACTCTTCCAGCTAAGCAAGGCTTGTTGCTGGTCGAGTCCCCAGGTCACAGCAAAGGAATGTGGCGTATAGTCTGTATAGGTATATTGGAGCATATTTGTTAGAAATCCTTTTTCAGCTCAAGAGGGACTTTATAGAGCATGTTTAAATTTGAATTTTTGGACTAAATAACTGACTCGACTAAAATGACTTGAGAACTTTATTTTTGCTATGTGTATCTGAGGATTAGTTGATTTTTTTGTATGTCTCTTTATGATTTGTTTTGATGCTTCACGAACTTCTGACAACAAAAAGTGGGGGGTTATGATGCTGTTCCAGAGTCTAGGACCTTGTCAGAAAGCAGTTTTTGTGCGATATAATTTTCGTGTAAATGTCTCTTTGAAATGGTGTATGTTTCTTGTTTGGATATTTGGGTCATCCTGCAGATAAAATAGTGTTTCAAGAGATGGCGGCAAGGTTCCATTCAACTTTCGATGCATGATTAGAAGAAGTTGTTGTTTGGCGATATCATTTACTTTAAGAAGGTTGAGCGTTTTGAAAATGGGATCAGAGTGAGCGAGTTTAGGCTGATTGTCAATAATTCTGATGATGCGTTTCTGAAGGATTTCAATTTTGTTGAGGTATGTCGGGAAAGTAAAGCCCCATACGACGGTACAATAGTTTATGTAGGGCAATACCAAGGAGTTGTAGAGCAATAAAAGTGATTTTTTGTCTAATAAGTACTTGATTCTGTTAATGATTCCTATATTACGGCTTATGGCTAAGGCAAGATAGTCGATATGTGCAGACCACTTTAATTTAGTATCAATGTATACTCCCAAGTATTTTACTGTGTGTGCCCACCTCTGCCGTGCCAAAACTCTTTCAACGCACTCTTGCCTGCACAACTAAATAAAAGAAACAAAAAAGGTACATAGGAAAGACATGGTATTGCAGAACATGATTGGAATCCAGAACATGTGTGCAGCAAGTCCAAAGAGTGTGTGGTTTTCTGCAAAAGAACAACCAATAATCACATTTACAACATAACCAAGGATCAAATGCGGACATTGATGCGGACAGTTCACACATTGTACGAAATGCGGACACAAAATGCACATTTGCCAGATGCACATAAATTCCAATCAGCAGAAATGACAAGTTACAACTGGCATTTGTTCTGTTACAAATAAAGATAGCAATTACTGACCAGATGTGTTTTTGGCGCAGCGGTGGGACAAGTGGCCAGTCGGCTCACACTCGACTGGTTCCCGTCTGGTACATCAGCTGGATCACGCTCAGCTGGTGACACACAACAGTACAACCTATTACACCTGCCACTGCCCAAATGCACGAGGAAATGTACCAGTTTTACAATGTGCTAGATCTTAAGGCTCAAATACAAAGTAAATAATCTAAATTAGCAATATCAGCCCCAATGGCACGTGGAACTCGCGCCATAATTGCCGCAACGAGCGTAATGTCCACAATATATCAGTTGTCTAGCCACAGTTTATCAGTTTAATATCCACGGCCAACTGCTCATCATTGTCAGTGGCACAATAATCAAAAATACTGACCTTTCACCTTTCATTTCACGCAAACAGATCAGTGCCGGCTCATTCTCGGCAACTCCCTCGTGGCAAACTGTCGCTGATACAAACAACGCATCGGGGTTCGCCGCAAACGCCTATTTTTGCGAGATTCTCGTCCGATCGCCGCAACTAAATCAAAACAAGTCACAACATCCTCCCCCCAGTTTCGGAGGAAACTCCCTGAGCCGCATGAGCCATACACAGCGTCAGTTCACTGCCACAACGAACTACCTTCAGTACACAACACAGAAGGCCTGGTAGCCGCCAGCTCGAACACAAAGACCATCTTCTACGACACCAGAGTCGTTAATACTTCAGAGAGTTCATGGCCGAGGCGTCCGGAGCGCACGGCACACAACACAAACACTGTCTCACTGACGCCTAGCGCCACACCACGAGACGCGACACGAGCCGACGCGCGGCCCGCTCCGAATCACTCAGAGCCGCCGCTCGCCCTTCGATAACACAACACGCCATCCGATGCCCTCCGTCAGCTTCCGGCATCAGCGACGCGGCGAGCCGACCCCAGACGGCATGCAGCGCCAGCTCGAGCACGCAGAAGCCACGGCCCGCAGAGGTGAGTCCCCACGAACAGCATCCTGACCGCGCCGACCGCCGGTCACCAGCCAGCTCGGCGACACAGGACGCCGCCCGCTCCATCCAGACGTCCTCGGCGAACCGCGCGTCTGTCCAGCCGTGAGTCGCTCACCGGCGACCCGCCAGAAAGCTACAGACGTCCTCCTGCCCTCCGCCGTCGTCCACCAGTGTGTCCAGCCACCGCTGGCCAGCCTGGACGAGGAAAAGGACACTTAGGATGGATGGAACACAGGTGTATCATTAATGAATGCGGGCGGGAGAAGAAACAGGAAAACAAAATAAACTAAATAAACAATGGTTAAAAGTAGAGCAGTGCTGTTCAACGGTCGGCAATGGGCAGAGAGCTCATGTCAGCTCTTGGCATGCTGACTCAGTCATCTCCACTCTCCTCATACTCTCTGCCCCTCAAGTAGGCAGAGCTTTGTGCACGGGCGCTTGTAGGTACCCGTCGCGGTCCGGACCAATGCCGAACGTACGACCCCATCTCCACTTGTATACACTTCCTGTACAACTCCTAGGGGCCAGTAGCCCCGGGGAGTATCTTCTATCATCAGCAGAACTACGTCATCGACGACGAGATTGCGCGTGTCCCTGGTCCACTTCTTCCGAGCGATCAGTGTCGGTAGATATTCTTTGAGCCACCTGAGCCAGACTCGATTTGCAAGAGCCTGGCTCTGCCTCCACCGTTTTCGAGACATCTCATCGTTTTCTCCGAAGACTCCGGGGGGCAGAACGCCTCCGTTGGGCCTCGCACCGAGTAGAAAGTGGTTCGGACTTATTGACTCAGGATCGTTTCCATGACCAGACACGTAGGTCAGTGGTCTCGAGTTCACCTGGTACTCAACTTCGAGCACCACGGTGTGAAGGACATCATCGGGTACAATCTGGTTTCCCAGAACTGCTCGGAGAGCTCTCTTTACAGAGGCGACAAGTCTCTCCCAGATGCCTCCCATATGGCTGGCTGCTGGGGGGTTGAATTTCCACTGAATGTTGCGTTGTGACAAAGCGTCGCATATCTGCTCTTGGTTCCACGCTTTAATGTTCTCTCGCAGTTCCCTCTCTCCACCGACGAAGTTTGTTCCATTGTCGGACCATATGAGCTGTGGCCGACCGCGCCGCGCAATAAACCGGCGTAGCGCCATCAAGAACGAGCTCGTATCAAGAGCTTCGACAACCTCAAGATGAATCGCCCTGGTGGCTAAGCAGGTCGCTAGCATGATGTACCGTTTTTCGGTTTTCCGGAACTTCTTGACTCGGACCGGACCAAGGAAGTCGAGACCCACAGATGAAAATGGTCGGGACATGTCAAACCGCTCACCTGGTAGATCTGCCATCCTCGGGTTGACAGGCATGGCTCGTCTGTTCCGGCACACTGCGCATCGCCAGATAATTTTCTTCACAGTAGCCCGGGCTTTGGGCGTCCAGTATTTTTCCCTGAAGAGGTTGAGCGTGTGGTTGAGACCAGCATGAAGACACTGCTCATGTAGTTCAGTCACAATCAGGCGTGTGACGTGACTGTCTTGATGGAGAACGATCGGCTGGTGACAAACTTCAGCTGAAGCGTGTGTCAGACGACCTTCCACCCGTCTAAGTCCCTCGCTGTCTGTGACCAGCGACAGACCTGGTTGTGGCGTCACCCTCTCCAGCTTCTGGTCTTCCTTGATGATGAACCTTTCTGCTTCCAGCAGTTCTTCGACTGTCAGCTGTCCGCGTTTCTTGATCTTGGAGCGCGCGTTCGAGACGAACCTGTGGATCCAAGCAACCACGCGTCGATACTTGTTCCACGAGGAAAACGGCGCAGCGTCAACCAGAGGAGCTTCGGCCGCAGCTGCCGTACCGACAAAAGTGGTGGCCTCCTTCGCCGTCTTCTTCTTCAGCTCTGGTTCATCTGGCAGGAGAGCGGGCGTCTGAAGACTGGGCGGCCAGTCATCACGGTCTCTTCTGAGGAAGTCAGGCCCCCTCCACCATAGGTCGGAGGATTTGAGCAGAGCGACTGAGAGCCCACGAGAGCCTGCATCCGCCGGATTCTGCTTGCCAGGGACGTGCTTCCACTGAGACGGGTCGGTCGAGTCACGGATCTCCGACACTCGGTTCGCTACAAAGGTCTGAAATAGTCTGCTTTCGTTCGCTATGAACTGAAGGACTACTTGACTGTCAGTCCAGAATATGACGTCCTCAAACTCGTAGGTGAGCTCGTCTTGAATGGTCCTCGCTAATCTCACAGCGAGCACAGCGGCTTGGAGCTCCAAACGCACTATGGAAAGTTGTTTGAGCGGAGCGACCCTGGTCCTGGACATCACAAGGCTGACCGTATGCTGATCATTCACATCAGTCATCCGTGTGTACGCCACCGCAGCGAATGCGTCTTCAGATGCATCTGAAAATATGTGAAGCTGAACGCTTGTGACACCGCTGGTTGCGGACGCCTTCAGACAGCGTGGGACCCTGATGCGTTCGACTTCTGACAGCTCGTTCAGCCAAATCTTCCATTGGGACAACTCGGCGCCTGTAATCTCTTCATCCCAGTCAATCTTCAGAGTCCACAGTCTCTGGATCAAGATTTTCACCTTCAATAGGAATGGCGAAAGCAGTCCCAGAGGGTCGAACACAGTGGCTGCCGTCCTGACAACTCCTCTCTTCGTGGATGGTCCGGTTGAACTCCTCACTCGGATGCTCAAGGTGTCTTCTTTCGGCGACCACACACAACCGAGTGCCTTTCCTGCTTCGCTTTCACATGAAGTCACCGTTTTCTGTGTTTCGTCGCGGTCGTCTTCGGGTACATGTTGAAGGATCTCCGGGTGACTTGACCTCCATTTCGTTAGTCGAAAGCCTGCCTTTGCCAGCAGCGAGGTAACCTTTTCCATGACTGCCAGGGCTTCCTCAGGTGACCTTTCTGAACGAAGAAAATCGTCCACATAGAAGCTCGAGAACAGGGGTGGGTCACCTTCGGTGTCCTCTGCCTCGGTATCCACCGACAGAGCTCGGCGTAGGACGTAGTTTGCAATACAGGGACTGCATCTGGCACCAAATATTACAACAAGCATCTGGTAGAGGTCAGGTTTCCTCGTGGCATCCATGTCACGCCAGAGGAAGGACAAAGCTGGTTGATCCTCGGGTCGTACCTGAATCTGATGGAACATCTGGTAGATATCGGCTACCAGTGCGTACTGCTGTTCCCTGAATCGTAGAAGCACGCCTTGCAGGTTCTGCATTAGATCCGGCCCTTTCAGCAGCTCACCGTTCAGCGACGTTCCTCTGCTCTGTGCAGCTGCATCAAAAACCACTCTCGGTTTTGGTTTGTCTGGACGGATAACAGCATGATGCGGAAGAATCCATCGCTTCTTCTTTGTCTCTTCACTTTCCGCACTTGACAACTTCCGCGCATATCCCTGTTGCACGTAGCTCTCCAGTACTGCCTGATAGGCCTCTGCGCGCTCTGGATTCTTCTTCAGACTTCTTTCCAGAGATTCCAGCCGACCATGCGCCGACCCATAGTTGTCTGGCATTCTCCCTTGCTCATCTCGCCAGAGGAGCCCAACTTCGTACTTGCCGTCTTCACACCGCGTCGTCCTTTCTAGGATTCCCAGCGCCCTCTTGTCCTCCGGCGTCAGAGCCTGCTTATCTGTGCATGTCGTGCCGAAGGATTCCGTACTCCACCAGTCATTCATCATGCTCGACAGATCTTCATCTGACCGCTGGTGGGACGACTTGCTGATGAACATCACTTCGCGGTGGTGTCCTGGCACCATGCCAGCAAGCGATCCAGTCAGCGACCATCCGAAAGCTGTCCGGATGGCCACCGGTTCTCCAGGTCTGCCCACTCGTGCTTCTCGCTGAAGCACAGCCTCCAACACATTAGCGCCCAAGAGAAGTTCAACTTGTCCACCCGAGAGGTCAGGAATCGTGAGTCCTTCAAGATGTTTGAGACCGCGCAGCTGCCGGCGGTTCACGCTGGGTGCACGCACGTTTACTTTCTCGACTGAGAACGCTTCTGGCACGCATATCCTCTTCGAGCGATCCTGTGGTTCTCCCAGAGGAGAGAGCTCCAACTGGACTCGTCTTGACATTTTCTGTTCGCCGGCTGCTTCAACACTGTTAAGCCGGAGTGACTGAACCTCTCCAGCCACCTGTAGTTCATCGAGCAATGAGACGTTGCACAGCGAGGTCTGGGCACCTGGGTCCAGAAGCGCAAGGGTGTCCTTGAACTTCCCATCCGATCCATGTACACGCACTGGAACAACTTGGAGAAGAACAGAAGAGTGCTCTCCAGTAGCTTCTTGTCTCACGGACGCGATGGTTGCTTCGTTGGCCGACTTTCTGACTTCTCCAGCACCATTCACCGGCAACGTGGTCGGCCTTCGCACTCTCCTGCTTCCGTGTAGTAGTCGGTTGTGGCGAAACGTGCATCCTTCGATGCCACATGTCCGTGCAGTCCTGCAGCCTCGACTTCGGTGACCAGCTCGAAGGCAGCTGAAACAAAGGCCACTACGAGCAACAACTTCAGCCCTCTCATCTGGTGTCAGTGCCCGAAACTGCTCACATGACCAGAGCCCGTGAGTTCCTCCACAGATTACACAGACCCTCTCACCTGATCTGGAGCTGGCGGTGGTTGTTGTTACAAACAACCCGACATTCTTCTGCTGCCTGGTCGTTGATGCAGATGGAGCTGATGCTTCACATCGAAGTAGCACTGCCACCTGCGTGCGCAGCCACTCATCAAATTCAGTCAGAGTGGGCCGCTCCAACCCAAGAGTGTGCTCTGCCCATGATTTCCTGAGATCAAGGGGAAGCTTGCTGACCATCCGCCTCAGATTTTCGCACGACTGCAGGTCACCCTCAAACTTCATTGTCTTCAGAGTGGTGCATGCCCCATGAACTGCACCATGGTACTTCTCCAGCGACTTTGCATCAAAAGCCTTAGGAGGTGCGCAGCTGAAGACAGCTTTCAGAGTCGCATGCACAATGTCCACCTCTTGTCCATATCTCTCCTTGAGAGCCTTCAGCGCATCAGAGTAAGAGCTCCCGTCACATATCATGCCTCCGATGAGTGCCCTTGCTGATCCAGAGACAGAATTTTGGAGATGTGCCATCTTCTCATCATTGGTCAAGTCCTGCCTATCAACCATGGCCGAGAAGAGGGAGTGCCACCTTGGCCAATCCTCCACTGACCCACTGAAGGTCGGCAGCTTCAGCCGAGGCAAGCTGTGATAGAAGAGTTGATTTTCTGTTGCCATTTTATCTGCAGTGATTCTTCTCTTGCCCACTTTCTGCTTGGCTTCCTGACCATTTTCCTGCTGTTCCTGCTGTTCAGCTACAACAAAATCCTCCCTTCTATCCCAAGCCAGCTCATTCTCCGCTGCTCTCGTCAATTCTGTCTTCAACTTCGCAGCATTCAAGGCATCCTGCTTTTCCTGAAGCTGTCGCTCTCGACGAAGACTCTGCTCTTCTTCTTCTCTCTGCAGGCGGATCTGCAACTGCTTGAGCTCCATTTCTCGAACCTTGTTCTCTACTTCAGCCATCCTGGTGGCATGCTGAGCTGCAGCTTTCGACGATGCAGACGAATGCGCCACTGCCGACACAGAGGGGGTTTCATCCGCTCGGCCCTTGAGATGAGCCTCAACTCTCTCAACCGCAAGTCGGTGCTCCTCTGTTGCTTCCTCTCCATATACCTCACACTTGCGTCTCTCATCTTCATCTTCCAGTGACAACCCATACTTCTCATTGACCTCCAGGAGCGCTTGAAGAGCAACGTCCAGGTCTTTGAGTACCGAGCAGAGCTCCCTCTTACTTCCCGCAGTGTCAACAAGTACAAAAGCCCTCCTCCTGGTCCTGGTTAGATTTCCCTTCCTGAGGGCACGCTCGCTCTTGAGTGACATCTTCTCCTTGAGCAGTTCACCCACAGCAAATGTCCATCAAATTTGTACTTTCAAAGCACTTCACATCACATCAATGAATCTTTGAAACTTCAAACACATCTGAAAACTGTGCCCACCTCTGCCGTGCCAAAACTCTTTCAACGCACTCTTGCCTGCACAACTAAATAAAAGAAACAAAAAAGGTACATAGGAAAGACATGGTATTGCAGAACATGATTGGAATCCAGAACATGTGTGCAGCAAGTCCAAAGAGTGTGTGGTTTTCTGCAAAAGAACAACCAATAATCACATTTACAACATAACCAAGGATCCAATGCGGACATTGATGCGGACAGTTCACACATTGTACGAAATGCGGACACAAAATGCACATTTGCCAGATGCACATAAATTCCAATCAGCAGAAATGACAAGTTACAACTGGCATTTGTTCTGTTACAAATAAAGATAGCAATTACTGACCAGATGTGTTTTTGGCGCAGCGGTGGGACAAGTGGCCAGTCGGCTCACACTCGACTGGTTCCCGTCTGGTACATCAGCTGGATCACGCTCAGCTGGTGACACACAACAGTACAACCTATTACACCTGCCACTGCCCAAATGCACGAGGAAATGTACCAGTTTTACAATGTGCTAGATCTTAAGGCTCAAATACAAAGTAAATAATCTAAATTAGCAATATCAGCCCCAATGGCACGTGGAACTCGCGCCATAATTGCCGCAACGAGCGTAATGTCCACAATATATCAGTTGTCTAGCCACAGTTTATCAGTTTAATATCCACGGCCAACTGCTCATCATTGTCAGTGGCACAATAATCAAAAATACTGACCTTTCACCTTTCATTTCACGCAAACAGATCAGTGCCGGCTCATTCTCGGCAACTCCCTCGTGGCAAACTGTCGCTGATACAAACAACGCATCGGGGTTCGCCGCAAACGCCTATTTTTGCGAGATTCTCGTCCGATCGCCGCAACTAAATCAAAACAAGTCACAACACTGTGTGTTCCTTTTTTATAGAGTCATTATTTAATTGTATGTCTAGATCAAATTCATTGCTTGCGTTACTGTATATTTGATATATGGTGTTTTGAGTGTTAAGGGTAAGCTTGTTCATTTGTAGCCAGGAGCAGATAAGTTTAGCTTCGCAGATAATGATATTTTCAAGGCTCTTTTTGTTTGTTGCTTCAAAGAAAATCGCGGTATCATCTGCATAAAGGAGAAATTTTACGTATGTTTTATTAGTGATGTTTGGTAAATCGTTAATATAAAGAAGAAATAGCAGTGGACCTAATATGGAGCCTTGAGGAACCCCAATTTTTACTTTTTTGAAATCTGATTTGATTTCCTGGTACTCCACACATTGTAATCTGTTCGTTAGGTATGATTCAATAAGATGTAGCGATGCACCACCAAATCCATAAATCTGTAATTTTTTCTAGTAAACTGGAATGATCAACAGTATCAAAGGCTTTCTTTAGATCCAAATAAATACCACAGGTAATTTTGCCAGCTTCCAGTGAAGTAGTGATGTAGTCTTGGAGCAAAAGTAAGGGCATGTAGGTAGATTTATTTTTTTGAAAACCAAATTGAGACCGATTTAGAATTTGGGCATCATGAAGGTATCTTGTCATTCTTATGTATATGATCTTTTCAAGTATTTTAGACAGGTATGGTAGAATGCTTATAGGCCTATAGTTACTAAATAACTTCTTATCCCCAGATTTATAAATCGGTTTTACCACTGCAATTTTCAGTGCCTCAGGAAAGACTCCAGCACTTAAGCATAAATTAATAAAGTGCACTAGTGCGTGAATGATAGATGAATATGTTCCTTTGAAAATTGATGCATTTATTATGTCTATCCCAGCTCCTGTGTTTTTCGTAGTCTTAACTATTTGTATTAATTCATCAGAATTGGTTTCCTCAAGGGTGTCAAAAGAGTAGTTTGGTTGTGGGACAATATATCTAAATGGGTCCAAGCTGCTAGAGGGGATCTTATGCTGTAGCTGTTCACCAACATCGATAAAGAATTTATTGAAAGACTTTGCAATATCTTCTTTACCATCGATAATATCTCCATTTGGTAGAGTAAATTCTAGTGATATTTGTTGACTGGTTTTGTTCCCTTTAGTGATACTGTTAAGAAGCTGCCACATTTTTTTAATTTGCCTTGTTGGCCTGTAATTGGTTTTGAAAATAAATTCTTTTTGAAGTTCGAATTACTTCATTTAGCTTGTTTCTATATGCGGCATATGTTGTACTATTTTCGACTGTAGGGTTCTTATATTTTTTGACAAAGAGTGTATGCTTTCTGTTAATAGAGGCCAGAATGGCGGGAGTGATCCATGGCTTGATGGAACTGCGTTTGCGATTTTGCATCACTATTTTGCTGTATTTGTCGATTCCTTTCTGATAGGCATTTATGATTGCATTACAGGCTTCATTGGGGTCTAATATGGTGTTGTAATCGCAGAGCTCCTGAGAAAGAAAATGCGATAACTCCTCCATTTTGTTTTTGTCAAAAACTGAGTAAGGAGTAGCTGTCTTCGTTCTGTTGGAAGAGAAGGTTGCACACGATACAAATATGGGGAAATGGTCAGAGATGTCATCATATATGATCCCGGATTTATTTATGAAATCTATTGTGTTGCAAAAAATATTGTCTATAAGAGAAAGTTTGTTGTCTGAAAGGCGAGTAGTTTTGCTTATTGTTGGTAAATATTCAAAAGTCAGAAGTTTGTTAAAAAGGCGTGGCATTGGTTATCTTTATGTACCAAAAATAAGTCCAAATTAAAGTCGCCACACAAGAAGGCAGTTTTGTTTAGTTCATCTATTTTTTCTAGGCAAATGATAAGTTCTTTCATGAAAAGGTCATGATCAGCCCCTGGTGGTTTGTATGCTTGGCTTACAATAAACGTGAAATTTGAAGACATCTGACATTGATCATTAAAATTTCCTGAGTTAGATCGTCGATGTGAATTTCTGATGATTTTGTTATGAATTCATCGTTCAAATATACTATGACACCTCCACCCGTTTTTGACTGTCGGTTTTTGAAATATCCGGTGTATCCAGCTAGTTGGCGGAGAGGTATCATGCTATCTGATAGCCATGATTCAGATACACAAACTACATGCCAATTAATGGCTGAAGATTCTACAAAATGTTGGAATTCCTCGAACTTCATGTCAGAAAGAATTGATCTGACATTAGTGTGTAAAATGTTGAGATGTTTTCTGTCTAAGTCTGAAGATAAATTTGTATTTTTATAATAATTACAATTTTGTCTAATGTATTCATATTTTTCATGCGTCACTTCCAGATCACTTGATGCTACATTTACAAAAGGATTAAACTTTTTGTTGAGCTGATCTGGAAGTTCCTTGCACGTTAGAGCGCTCATTTAATTTGAGATAGTAATCAGCTATGGAGTGACCTCCAAAAACCTTTAAGTCAAAATTTATTTGGCACTCAGTGCTGTTCTGGAGGTCCAGGACACCGATCAACCATGCAGTAAGTTTCGGTTGACAATAAAATTCAATATGAATGGTTAGGACCTGTTGGGACCACACACACAAAAAAAAACAGCTCAGCGGGTCACCAGTCGCGAAACCGCCCCCGGCAGACCCCTGGGCAGACCGAACGCCCGCTAGGCCCCGAACACATCCAACCGCATCGGACATCCGCTAACAAGTGCAGAAGCAGGCCCGAGCCCCGCCAGCAGCCGCAGAACCCGCGAACCCCCGTCCACCAAGCCGCGAACCCAAGAACTGGGGTGGCGGCTGTCTGGCAACCGCCGAGGTCCCGACGAGCGTCCGCACGACCGGGCCCGCAGCCATACACCGTCAGACATCCGATGCGCCCGCACACAAGCGGAGGCATGCTCATTAATTGCTCAAGGCACAAGGATGCCAACCGATCCGGAGCAGATCCGCAACCGTTAGACCGAAGTCGTCCTAAGTTTGACGGACGTGAAATAGTTTACATCATCCTTGATTATTGTCGCGCGGCAGTGGCAAAGAGAGGCATCGAATATATCACGTGACTTGTATCAGTCACATGGAAATACAGCAAAGAAAAATAATGAATAAATTATTTTTTTTTTGTATTTTATGTTTTTTTTTTGTATTTTTGTATGCTCAAAACAATGAAACACTAGAGACAGAATGAGCTCAAGCAATACAACATCACATGTAAGGCCACATGATCCCACTCATGCTACCACACAGAATCAATCTTTGTGATGGTTAAACAAGACAAACAAAGTAACAGTTTACTTCAGTGATGCAGTTTACCAGGTAGGTGAATAGAGTGCAGGGTGTATAGGCAGTTGGGCTGGATTAGCTCACTTGAAACATTTTTCAATTCAGCTTATTTCAATTTAGACCAGTCTCATCATCGGTGCCAGAGCAAGTACATGTTCAGTAGCATGTGGGTTGGTAGCTAAAAAACGCTCCACCCTGGATAGCTGTGCCATCATTGATGTATTATTTGGGAGTGCTGCACCCATTGACATAGACCCCAATTACCCATCTCACAAAGACCAACTGCTTCCATGTTGGTGCTGCAGGCAAACAACAGTTCCCATAAATGCCTACTCATCCATGTGACTGGACTCAGCAATTCAATGTTGACACCAGTCAGCATCCAAACACCGCACAGCTTGACCCTGGCTGAGAGGCCAAAGTGGCCTATGATTATTATACAAGTATGAGTATGGCTAGCCCCCCAGTGCCCAAGGTTAAAACAGTTTAAAACAGCCTATCTGCCAGGCTCATGCTCTTGCAGCATGCATTCATTCATGTTGGTTAAAACAGCCTTTCTGCCAGGCTCATGCTTATTCAGCATGCAGACATTCTTTCACGCACACAACCACTCGCATAGTTCCACGCAGCTTCAATAGCTCAATGGCGAAGCTGGCAGAAGTATGTCTGGGGGGCTATTTATTATGCTCATAGTCAAGCATGAGTTATATCTAATAGCTAGGGCCAGCTGCGCGGCCATGACTCTCCTGCATCTCAGAATGCAGTGTCCAGGCTGCAGTATCGCATTCCACCATTACCTGTTTTCCTTGCAGTTTGTGAAACTGTGAGCCATGTCATAGTACTGCATCTCCTTAGTCAGAACAGCACTTTGCTTACTTCATGTTTGCTCTGGACTTACCCTTCTGACGATGGGTGTCTGTTTTGATTTCTGCTATCTCCTCTAGGTCAGCTGTGCGCTTGACCACAAGGTCCCGTGGGATGGCCTGAAGGGTCTGGGACCTCAGAAATCTACCCTGGTTGGGTTGTTGGTCAGACTTGAGCGGAGCAGCATTCATGGCATCCAGGATTTCCTGTTCATTGTACCATGGCTGGATCCTGGCATATCTTTTATCAGCTGAGTCCCTTGCTAGGATGACTCCATTTTTTGTATGGAAGTTGAGGACCTGCTGCTTGGCACGCATGTCCCCCAGATATTTGACCATGCGGGCTCTTTTGTCCGTCAAGTTTTCATGGACACTCTTTGAAGTCACCTGTTTGGTTAAATTTGGCCTGGTATACTGCATCCCTGTCATCAAGGTCCTGAAATTTAATGAGGATCCTTTTTTTTTTGTTTCTTAGGCGGTGGCAGGCTGAAGTTGCCCCTTTCAGGTTTACATTGAGTTTTTCTTTGATGAGTTTGAGAGCAGTCTCACGTGTCTCCGCCGGAGACTCATCATGTTAACCCTCTGGCACTCCCTCCCCACCTAGGATCAATGAGGTTTTTCTGTTGTATTGCTCGGCCTCATCTAGAGCCCACTCCAGTTTGGTTACTTTTTCACTCAAATTTTTGTTCTCTGCTTGAAGAGCCATGATATCTCTTTTCATACCTGCTGTTTCCTTTTCCACTGCCTCTGCTATGAGAGCACTAATCTGGTCCATAGTCACAACTGCCATGTTACCAGCGCCCTAGACCTCCAAAATTTATTACCTACA